TGGGGACTGAAGCAACTTTGGTTGCCCTGTTGGACAGTTATTGCTCAAGTAAGAGTGTAGCTGTTGATTTTCTGGACCTCTCATGGATTTTCAATACTATCAACCCTAGCATCCTGCTGGATTGGGGACCATTCCGTGGAGATGCACATTGGCGGATTAAGGGCAGGCAAAAGGTGGGATTCTGATTGTGCGGTGGGCTTTCCCCCTTCTCCTCTCTCTCCATGCCAACCCAGTTGGTTCAGGGAAAGGTTCAGGAGACCCCTCAGGACAGTGCATAGGGAAGGAGAGGTTGGTGATCGGTCTATCTGTCAAGCCGAAATGCTTGCCCTTATGGAACAAGCATGTGATGTTGAATTCCTCCCTGTATATTTAAACTTCAGAATCCACTGCCACAAGGTGTGTTGATGGCCCCCAATTTAGGAAGCTTTAAAAGGCAACTGGGTGAACTCACCATAAGAGCTATATGCTACGTGCAGGATCAGAAGGAGCAACATGCTTCTCTGAATACCAGTTGCCACAGAGGGCTATTGTCCTTATATCTTTCCTGTGGGTTTCCTGGAGAAGCAGCTGACTGGCTGCAATGGGACAGAGGAGGTTGATCTTGATGGACTTGTTGGACTGCTCCCATAGGGCTCCTCGTGTTCTCATGATAACCAAACGCAAGCAAGGGAGAGAGAAAGTGACATTATTTTTTATCAGACAAGAACACACACACACCAATCCATGGAACGTTGAGCAATAATTGGCTTCCATTTTGGATCATGCCCATTTTTTTAAAAAAAAATTGCACTCAACTTGGCAACGAAAAATGGTGAAACTTGAAACCGGGTAGAGTGGGGCAAGAAGAGGCCTTAATTCTAATTCCTAAACAACGCTTCAGTGCCACTTGTGAAGTTGGCCAAAGTTTTGACATCATGTCGTTTGCGCTTATCAGAAGCCCTCAGGCAAAAGGGGCAACAGGAAGTAGGTAGGCTCCAAATTATTATTGATAAGAAACTCTCATTCTTTATCGTGCCTGGATAGTTACACTCCGTTAACTGGGGAGGGAGGGGGGACACAGAAATGGTGCTGGGAGTTTAGTTCTCCATTTCCTCCCCCTCCTGAAGGACAAAAGTCAAGTGAAAATGATAAAGGTGGTAACATTCCCATTTCAAAGAGGTGTGATCCCATTTATTCTGGCATGTGCCCCCCAGCCTCCCACTATCATGCATACAATTAAGTTCAAATCTCTAAAATCTTACCTGTAATTGGAGCCAGCTGCAACCTTCTGACACGTGCTAATTGCCAGTAATGATTTAAGTGCAGTAAATCCACATGCTGCAATTGTTTTAAATAAGGGAATCTCTTGCAGCTTTTTTTTCCGTGAGAAGGGAGGGCCGGGGCAGAGAGATGAGGACCTGCTAATCTTTTCTTCTGACTTATCAGATCCTCCAGTCACATGTTTGCCATCATTTTCATGACCTGATAATGTGTTTATTAGAGCCATAATGTGCAGGTGGAAGTATAAAGGTCTCAGTAGCCTATGAAACCCGCCTATAATGTATTTACTGTGGGAAACCTTCAAGTCACTCTCTGGGCTTGCCTGTTCTCAAAAACAAGGGCAGCCAAACTAAGCGCCTTTCAAGTTAAAAGTTCTTTTGATATTAGTGACCTGCTCCATATGCAGAGCAAAAACAAAGGGTTTTCTTTAGGGTTGCCAACTCTTTTGCCAGACCCTGCTGTTCTTTCAACAGCAGCTTCATCTAAAGGAATTAGCAGGCGATAAAAACTTATACCATGCCATGGAAAACACATCCACTACAACATGCCAAGATGCTTGTAAAGGCACAGGAGCAGACCAGGTCATCTTTTTTTCCCCTGGTCAGTTGACAGTCATTTTCTCCTTCCCAGTCTCAGGCAATGCCTTCAGCCACAATGATAAGTGTTTAGTCTGGTGTCACTGCAATTTTGGAAAGTCCCTTTATAAACAAACAAACAACCATTTAGTGGGTGGGTGGGTGGGTGGGTACAGTTCAAGCGAAACCCTGCCAAAAATATCAAGGAAGAGGGTTACAGTGGTACCTCGGGTTACATACGCTTCAGGTTACAGACTCCGCTAACCCAGAAATATTACCTCAGGCTAAGAACTTTGATTCAGGATGAGAACAGAAATCATGCTCCGGCCTCGCGGTGGCAGCAGGAGGCCCCATTAGCTAAAGTGGTGCTTCAGGTTAAGAACAGTTTCAGGTTAAGAACAGACCTCCAGAACGAATTAAGTACTTAACCTGAGGTACCACTGTATTACTTATCATCCTTAACCTAATGAAGTGGCCATAGGTTTTCCATTCCCTTTGCCCCTCACATTTTCTAATGTTAAAAAAAGCTGCACACAGCTTGTAATGGTGGGTGGCTCTTTCTACAGCTGGCAGCCAGCAACTCTTTCTACCGCTGGCTACACACCCTGAGAATATCCCAAAAGGAAGCAGCACCCTCCCTCCCCCCACACACACCTGAAATACTTCTTCCTCAGCAGAAAAGCAGCCTCCATTTTCAGAGGAGAAACTATATTCAAGAAATTGAGGGTGGAATGAGATTGTCGGTCCCAGCCTGAGTTTGTAAACATGTTGATCCACTAGCATTCTGATTTCTCTCTGTGTGTTTTTCCCCGAGCAGATTTTATTTTTCTTATTAGAAGACTTACTTGACCACTGACCTACTAACAAGGACAAGGCATGGGCTGGCGACATCAGAGCCCATAGTTAAGCTATGGAACTCGCATAGGATGCATTGTTGGCCAGCAAATTGGATGGCTTTAAAAGAGGAGTAGACAAATTCTTTGAGGACAAGGCTATCAAGGGCTACTAGCCATGATGGGCATGATCCACCTGCAGGATTGGAGGCATTGTGCCTCTGAATGCCAGCTGCTGGGAACTGCAGGTGTGCAGAGTGCTGTTCTGCTAATGCCTGACTTGCAGGATTCCCATAGGCACCTGGTCGGTCTCTGTGACTAGATGGGCTATATTGTTTATGACAAAGGCTCCTCACCTATATTACAACACGCCTAGTATTTATTAGCTGGGCTAGGTAGCCTGAGGTAAAATTGCAACATGTACAAGGCAGAGATAAAACCCTAAGTTATCAGGGTGCATTGGGATCTTATCTTGCAATGCAATGTCTAGGCACATGCATGTTCTTCTGCTACATACCTTAAGGACTGCTGACTTCTAATTTGCCCCCCTGCCCAGATGTTAGGAAATCTTCCTCAGATACCTCTGGCGTCAAAGATGACACAAGTAGTGACCCAAGGCGGGGCCTTTTCAGTGGTAGCATCCCATCTCTGGGATGCACTATCCAGTGAAGCTAACCTGGCAGTGCCACTGATGTCCTTCTTGGCACCTTTTAGCCAGAGTTGGAGAAACTGGTCCTCAAGATGATGCTCGTTCGCTTTCCCATCAACCCCAGCCAGCAAGGCCAGAGGTCAGATGGGAGTTGGAGTTCAACAATGTCTGGAGGGTCACAGGTTCCGCACCCCTCGCTAGGCTTTTAAATCTCTGGTTTTACTTGTTGGATCAGACCAGAGATTCATCTAACCCAGCATTCTGCTTCCCACATGTCCACAAGTAGGACGTGAAAGCAGCAGCCCTCTCACATTGCCTTTAACCCTGAAGAAAGCATATGATATAACAAATAAGCATTAGTAGTAGCCTTTGGCAGATTCCCCACCCACCCCCACTCCACAAATATGCCTAAGCTCATTTTCAAGCCTTCTAAACTGCTGGCCATCACCTCATCTTGTGGAAGTGAATTCCATAAATTAGCTGTGTGCTGTTTGTCTCAAGAAAACTGTCCAGAATCTCCTTTTGTCTGAATCTCCTCCAATTTCATTGGATGACCCTGAGTTCTGGTATTCTGAGAGGGAGGAAAACATGTCTCTTTCCCCTTTCTCCATGCCATACATAATCACCATCTTATCTCCCTCTGTTGCCTTTCCCCCGCTTGCCCCCTAAACTAAAAAGTCCAGCACTTTTGGTGTGTTCATCCTAACCTAGTTCTAGTTTTTATCTCTGTTCTCCTGCTTTTGAACTAATTCTTCCATGATGATGAATAATTTTATTATATGTATTGGTTTTTAATTACCGTACTGTACCTTAAGTACCCCCACTTTTTTTTAACCTTTTTTTTGCTCAGTTGACAAATGGAAGAGAAATGTTCAAAACTGGGAACCTTTATGTAGCAGTTACCTTTTTCTATGTTTGTTCTCCTTCACCGTTGCAATGTGGACTCAGTGACCTCTTGCTAAGATTTCCCGAAATATTTTATTTGTTAAATTTTAAACAAAGTAATCCCCATGATGGGGTGAGCTCCCATTGCTTGGTCCCAGCTCCTGCCAACCTAGCAGTTTGAAAGCACGTCAAAAGTGCAAGTAGATAAATAGGTACCGCTCCGGCGGGAAGGTAAATGGCGTTTCCGTGCGCTGCTCTGGTTCGCCAGAAGCGGCTTAGTCATGCTGGCCACATGACCAAGAAGCTGTACGCCGGCTCCCTCGACCAATAAAGCGAGATGAGCGCCGCAACCCCAGAGTCGGCCACCACTAGACATAATGGTCAGGGGTCCCTTTACCTTTAAAAAGGTAAAGGTACCCCTGCCCGTACGGGCCAGTCTTGACAGACTCTAGGGTTGTGCGCCCATCTCACTCAAGAGGCCGGGGGCCAGCGCTGTCCGGAGACACTTCCGGGTCACGTGACCAGCGTGACATCGCTGCTCTGGCGAGCCAGAGCCGCTCACGGAACGCCGTTTACCGGTACCTTCCCGCTAGTAAGCAGTCCCTATTTATCTACTTGCACCCGGGGGTGCTTTCGAACTGCTAGGTTGGCAAGCGCTGGGACCGAACAACGGGAGCGCACCCCGCCGCGGGGATTCGAACCGCCGACCTTTCAATCGGCAAGCCCTAGGTGCTGAGGCTTTTACCCACAGCACCACCCGCGTCCCCCCCTTTACCTTTACTTAATAATAATAAATAAAAATATGCACCCCCATCCCCAAGACCACTCCATTGTAACTATTCAACTTCCCAAAATGTCAACATCTCTCGCGATGGTTTGACCCCTTTCCGTTTTAACAGTACAAATTCTGCAAATCTTCCATATCTCCTCAAAATCATTTCTCCTCCATATTCCCCATCTTATCATTAATAGCTAGGTTCCTGGAATTTGCAGGTTGGGTATAATCATTTATCAGCAGATAGGTTGTTTTTTTAAGTCTCTGAATAACTGATTCTTATTAGTATTGGACCTGATCTTGCAAAATACACTAGGCACAAACCAGCTTCAGCTCTCAAACCTTCGTAGTCAGTTTACATGCAAGCACAGGGCATGGGGAACATAATTAAAAAATAATAATTAAAGAACAGTCTCTGAGAGGAGATATGCCATTGTGTACTCTCAAACATATTGAACCAGTATAATAATTCCAGCAGTATGTGAAACAGTTGTGCAAGGAACTGGGGTGAGCGAGAGAGACCCCCTCCAATGAATCATGTTGGAAAGAGGCTCTGCTAAGTGTGCACCGCATTCAATGCCAGCAGAAGACAGACAATGGGGGCAAGTGGAACAGTTTAGCTCAGCAACGATGGCTGAGCTTCTGGGGTTAACGTGGGATTTCTGTCTTCACGTAGTTTGGTTCACAGCTTGAACAGTGGCAATGTTGGGTCCTAGCAAACAATTGGTCTCTGAAAACTATAGAGGTCTCTGCCAAACATATCATCAGTGGCTGCCGGCCATCTCACAGCCCAGTCCCTGAGGACAATGAGACACTGTCTTGGCCGTTCCAGAACAAATGCCAAAACTCTCTTTTCCAAAGAGGTGTTTAGAATGCTCAGAGCAAACGGCAATCTTGCTGGCTTAACATTCTTAAGTGCTTTAACATTTATAATGTTCCTGAAGCCTGTTCTTGTGCCCAGTAATCTCCCGAATCTTCATTTTATGTAAACTCTATGCCAGTGCTGACCATGCCCAGACTAACACCTCTTGGAACAGGGTTCCCTACAGCAGAAAACCATGCCAATGTAAATAAATACACCAGTTTATTGGGCGATCTATTCCAAATCTCCTTCCAGCTTTCACTGCTTCCAGTAGTTTCGAGACCTGCAACAGCAGCAGATTTAATGGCTCCACCTGAACAAACTGTTTGTTCTAACTTTAATTTTGCAAATTGCTGGCAAACTGTTGCTCTGCATGCAGGGCAGAAAACACAGCAGTGGGGCGCTGATAGACTCCTGGAGCCAGTTTCCAAGAGTGGAGACTCCATAGCTTAGTTTAGGAAGGTAATAGCAGATAGATGGGCCAGCTACCAGGTTGACCCAATGCCCCTGTTGTAGATGCTTGGATTTCTGCAGGGCTGGGAAACTCCATTTCTTCACACTTGGTAAGAAGTTCAGGGCAGTTCCATCGCTCAGTGGTAGAGCACATGCTATGCATACAGAAAGTTGCAGGCCCAATGTTTGGCATCTCCAGTTAGATCTAGAAATACGTTGGCCAGGTGTCCCCTGTTATTCTGAACAGTTTGCTATTTTAAGGTTCTGTCCAGTTAGAAATTAGTCCTCTGAAAATCCGGGAGGAACTCTGTCCATGTGGCCATGATCCCCCGCACTTTGTTATTGTTGTTTCTGACAGGGAGAGCACACTGTTGAGACTGCAAATTGTCATCTGGCACATGTTGCAATGATGAACGCTACTGCTCATAATGCTCAGCTCCTTACCTTTTCCTGACATGGTTCCTGCATGCTTAAATCATTACCTGAAAGAATTTCAAGGGACTAGTTGAGGTTGGTCAATGAAGGCAGATGGGTTGGTGTCCTATCACCTCGATTTGTCCTCAGCTAGCTACCTAACTTGCCTGCCTTCTTATTTTCAAACTACCTAGGGGCCTGACACTGCCTTCGAGCTTCATCCTCCTTATTCTCCCTGTTGCCTGTATAGAACTCAACAGAGAGGAAGATCAAGACAAAACTAGAATTAGTTAGCTCCCCTTGTCATTGGGCTCCAGCGCCATCTAATGTTGACCTCCGTGCCTTTCATGCTTTCACTTCTAATTTGCAAGAGCAAGCAACATGACTTTTCCTGGCATGGAAAAAACTGCGGCAGTGGAGAAAAACTTCAGCAGTTGTTCAACTTCTACTTGCCTGCAGAGGAGCAGCTTTTCTATTGCCTCCTTGGTCACCATTATTGCCATCCTTGATTGCTGGTTGACAAGAGATGAAACATGATGTTCTGTAGTGGGAAGTCCTAAATAATTACGGGGAGGGGGCAGAGAGGAGATACATCAGCATAGCAACAAAGGAGGGATGCATGTCAGAGGCCACAAATATATTGAGGCCCAATGTATTTCAAGTTATAAGAAGAAGAGTTTGGATTTGATATCCCGCTTTATCACTACCCAAAGGAGTCTCAAAGCGGCTAACATTCTCCTTTCCCTTCCTCCCCCACAACAAACACTCTGTGAGGTGAGTGGGGCTGAGAGACTTCAGAGAAGTGTGACTGGCCCAAGGTCACCCAGCAGCTGCATGTGGAGGAGCGGGGAAGCGAACCCGGTTCACCAGATTACGAGTCTCTTAACCACTACACCACACTGGCTCTCATGTGCTGGGCCTATATACTGTCCATGAATTTGGCTCTCACAAAACGTGAACCCCAGTTCCAAATGCTTCTAAGAAACAACTGACAATTAAGCAAGGAATAAACTTCAGGGACCCCCCTCAATACAATACAATACAACTTATTCCTTGTAATCAAATTCCAGGGCAAGTGGAGGGGGAGCGTGCCTCAACAACTAACACTGAAATTTAACTCACAAAATTTTTGAAATACAGGCCTAAATTAATTTATGTTATTAAACTGCTTTGAGATACTTGCTTTGTATAACAATGCAAACAATAAATTGTAGCCTGACAATACTGTAATAAAAACAGCAAGAGGGAGGAATGTCTTTGTCATATCATTGTTTATAAGATTTAATGCTCGGTTTGAGCTTGACATTCAGGGCCAAGGAAAGTGATGTTTTCTTGCCAAAGTCTCCCCGACAATATACGTTATATTTTGTCTATTAAGAGCAAAGGCATGGAAGAACAAATATGATGAGTCATTTATGTGCTTAAAAAAACAGGGAGTAGGGAGAGAGAAATGTGAAGCTTGCCTGCCTAGTCACCTGGCGGCCAAATATTATTCACCAGAGGAGACCAGGTAAAAGCTTATCGGGTGAGTGGGGATGGAGCAGGTCAAGTGAAGATGATGGTGACGATGATGGATGAGGATGAGGATTTTATTTATACCCTGCACATCTGGCTGGGTTTCCCCAGCCACTCTGGGCGAATTCAGACTTTAGATGAGTATGAACTTCCCACAATGTTCTAGCCATGGAATCCCAGGGCCTTCCTAAACTTTAAGCTCAGAAAGGACTTTGGTTTGCTTACTTGAAATGGCTTTTTTGTGTTCAGGACTAAGCTTTCAAATGCCTGCGGTTGTAGCAGATATTCCACTCCCCCATCTGGTTCTCACAAGAATGTTCATTGCCAGTTGAAACACACATCCAGTGATGGTTTGCATGTGCGGATCCTAAGCACCATAACAAGTGTGTGCTTCCCATTGAATTCAGAGGGACCTTCTTCTTGTGTACTGCAAACGACAACAGTTTAAATTTTCCAGTGTGAATATTTCACACATCAAGTAGCAATAAATCAGCTGATGGGATCAAGCAAAGTATATGTGTATGTGAACCAGTCCTATGACTTTTTTCTCTCTCTCTAGATATTTATATGAAAATTGAAACATGCCAAGATATCAATATCAAAGCAATATCAAAGCACTAAAATATAGGCAACAAATTAGTGGATGAACCCTACTCAAAAGAGTGATTATTAGGTTGGACAGGGATATCAAGTGGAACTCTGCAAAGCGCTGTCGCAGTTAATCATAATTTTGCTGGATGGCTACAGAATATTATTCTACTAATAACCTACAAAAACTTGTGTGGAATTGCAAGCATTTTGGAGGACAAACTTGGAATTCTAAATCAGAATCATACCCTAGACAACTGGACTGAAAAATTTAGAACAATCATTTTCAAATCTAGGAGGTCCAAATGCTTGAGGTGCAGGAATGAATTAGTTGTCTTATTCTTTTCCTTCTCTTACAAGGCTTTCTATCTCTACATGTACATAGGATCGGAGCCCTTGTTCGTTTCAAATGAAGGTTGAGCCTGACAAAGTAATAAAAATAGAGAATAACAGATTTAACTGCATGCTTGCAATACTTCATAAGTGGGCTGCTGAGGTCCATACGTGTTTACACTCCTCCCCTGCTCATGCAATCAAAGTAAATGTGGGGGGCAGGGGCCGTCCATTCACCCATTGGAAAAAATGATTTAATAGCTGTGATTTTAATCCATACATATAAGTTCACATCGGCAAGTGTTAGGTGGTTCTGATACTGATGCACTGTGAGGTAACTTTTAGGTTAGGTATAGGTAAAGGGACCCCTGACCATTAGGTCCAGCCGTGGCTGACTCTGGGGTTACGGCGCTCATCTCGCTTTATTGGCCGAGGGAGCCGCCGTACAGCTTCCGGGTCATGTGGCCAGCATGACTAAGCCGCTTCTGGCAAAACCAGAGCAGCGCACGGAAATGCCATTTACCTTCCCGGCAGAGTGGTACCTATTTATCTACTTGCACTTTGACGTGCTTTCGAACTGCTAGGTTGGCAGGAGCTGGGACCAAGCAACGGGAGCTCACCCCGTCGTGGAGATTCGAACCGCCGACCTTCTGATCAGCAAGTCCTAGGCTCTGTGGTTTAACCCACAGTAACTTTTAGGTTACTTCTATTACAATAAGTAGTTAAGGATGCCAAGAAGTAGCTAATCCAGAAAACGGCTTTGACAATATTGCAGAATAGTGATTTTTAAATTGGATTTGTTGTTTAGTCATTTAGTCGTGTCCGACTCTTCGTGACCCCATGGACCAGAGCACGCCAGGCACCTCTGTCCTCCACTACCTCCCGCAGTTTGGTCAAACTCATGCTGGTAACCTCGAAAACACTATCCAACCATCTCGTCCTCTGTCGTCCCCTTCTCCTTGTGCCCTCCATCTTTCCCAGCATCAGTGTCTTTTCCAGGAAGTCTTCTCTTCTCCTGAGGTGGTCAGAGTATTGGAGCCTCAGCTTCACGATCTGTCCTTCCAGTGAGCACTCAGGGCTGATTTCCTTAAGAATGGATGCGTTTGATCTTCTTGCAGTCCATGGGACTCTCAAGAGTCTCCTCCATCACCATAATTCAAAAGCATCAATTCTTTGGCGATCAGCCTTCTTTATGGTCCAGCTCTCACTTCCATACATCACTACTGGGAAAACCATGGCTTTAACTATACGGACCTTTGTAAATTGGATTTACCCTTCTTAATGACTATGATGAAGAGAGAGAGAGAGATGCAGGAATCTTTTGCCCAACATGGGGCTTAAACCCATGACCCTGAGATTAAGACTCTCATGCTGTACCGACAGAGCTATAAATACATACATGACTAATGCATGGCCTTGCTCATAATGTAGGCACAACTTGCCAGCTTGTGTAATGTGCAATGACTATTGACTATTGCAGTGAACTACTTGAGCGTTGCAATGTGTGATGTACACTGTTTCAGCTCAGCTTCTGGAAACGGACTCTCTTGCCTGATTGGTGTGAACAGTTGCTAACAAGTATTGAGGAAACTCTTATGATGCTGAGGCCTAATGTTCACAGGAGGACTGTGGGACATGGCGAGGGCACCTAGAAACTGCTGTAGAATCTGCCTAAAGTTGGGTTTTATTTGGTCCTCATTTATTGCCTGCATTTATGGACCCATAAATGTCCCAGCATGCCTCTCGCCCCCTCGAAGGAGACCAGTCTGCAATGAGAAATAGCACTGTACTATAAACTGTTCTGTCGAAACAGCCTCACCGTTAAAAAGTTCTGTGATATTTATCATGAAAAAAATCCCATGTAAACAATAACTCACCAACCCCAGAGGACCTTTATATCAACCACAAAAGAGAACTGATGATTCAAATCTCAAGGGACAGTATGAGGGAGAGAAGGGGAACTTGCGATAACTATCTTTCCCAAGGAAGACTGAATTATGAGTCATTTTGATAAGCCCTTTATTATTGATGTGGTATGGTCCATGCAGCCATGATGCTAATTGGATACTAAAGGGTATGTAGACCAGTATATATCAGAAACAGAAACTATGAATAAGTGCATTGTTTTCTCATGTTCGCCCCAACCTACCTTCAAAAAATTAAATCCAGGCAGTTGCTCTAGTCTAGCCATTCTTTATTGGTTGCGTGACATCTGCTGAATACAACCTCCCTCCATCCTTCAAGCAACTAAGCTGAACACATCCTGTTGTTTCTTGCAGCAACACACATGGACTTCCTGGAAGACACCACAGCATCTTCTAGACTCCTGCTGCATCTCCTGCCACCTTAAATTTTATGTATGCTTATGCATGTATGGGTCAAGATGAGCAGTGCTTTGTGCCCAGTCAGAACATTGGATCATTTAGCTCAGTACTGTTATGAATTGGGAGGCAGGGGGGGGTCAGTTGGTCTGGCTGGTATCTTAGGTCCCTTCCAATTCTTGGGATCCTGTATCCCAAGCTTACCAAACCAAATCCCTTTGCCAACTAGCTTTGGCTGGCTAGTTAAGGACGAGAACAATAGCCAAGGTGGGCAGGCTTGAACCTGGAAGCAAGCTAGAAGCTGCAGGTAGAGGACATGTTTCAACCTTCTGTTGAGCCCTAAGCTGGAATCAGGGCTTCTCATGGAATCTGACTGGGGAAGCAAGTTTGATTGGTGTATTAATGCTGTGAGCCCCTTTTTACCCTATGCTCAGGTTGTATATATGTGTAAATATAACCATTTATCCTAAGGACACCACCGTCTCTGCTGGCCTTCATTCCAAGGAAACCAAACCCTAGGTGAGGGCTTGGAGACTGAGGTGACATAAAATGTCCATGCTGACTGGTAGTGGCTTTCCATGACTTTAGACAGGAGTCCTTCTCAGTCCTTTTTCAAGGTGCCAGAGATCAAAGTTGGGACCTTCTATATATACTAAGCATGTGATTTACCACTGAGCTACAGCACTTTACCCACAAGTAGTTTGAAGAGGGACTAACTATGTCCTCAAACATTAATTCTTCTTAATGCTAGGAGGAGAAAAGAGAGAGGGGATGAGCACAATTGCCAGTCACCTGTTCTGTTTCGCTGGGGTGCAACAATTCAAAGACTTTTTATCACTCCGCACTTGGTTGATCTTTTGACTGGCCTGGCAAGGATGCTCTTTTTATTATATGCCTGGGCTATGTTTATCTTTAATTGCCTGTTCCCTGAGGCTGAGATTTAGAACAAACAATAGCGTATGTAACACTACCTGCATGTCACATGGCTTGATAGCCATGTGCCTCAAGGCCCCGGATGAGAGGCCAATCTACTGTACAAGTTTGTTTGTTTTACCTAATTATACTTGTGGAAGTGATGAGTGTTTTCTTTACTACTGAGAAACCCAACTCTCTAACAGGTGAGTCCAGCATACATCTCCATCAACAGACCTGCTGAGGGCATCTATCTGCCTGACCGTGTCATTAAATAGTAAAAACCATAAACCAAGCAGCTCACAATATGGATCAACAGATATTAGTATTACACACAACCAAGAGTCCTTGTGACCTCCTTAAACACTTCTCTTCATGGAACTACTACAGTACAGTGGTACCTCGGGTTAAGTACTTAATTCGTTCCGGAGGTCCATTCTTAACCTGAAGCACCACTTTGGCTAATGGGGCCTCCTGCTGCTGCCGCGCCACCAGAGCATGATTTCTGTTCTCACTCTGGAGCAAAGTTCTTAACCTGAGGTACTATTTCTGGGTTAACGGAGTCTGTAACCTGAAGCGTATGTAACCCGAGGTACCATTGTAGTTCAGCATGAGCGTGAAGTTGTGGTAGGCAAAAGGTAGGTAAAAGTAAAGGACCCCTGGACAGCTGAGTCCAGTCAAAGGCGACTATGGGGTGCGGCACTCATCTTGTTTCAGGCCAAGGGAGCCGGCATTTGTCCAGAGACGGCTTTCCGGGTCATGTGGCCAGCATGACTAAACTGCTTCTGGCAGAACGGGACACCATGACGAGTGGCAGAGTGCACCTTCCCGCTGCAGCGGCACCTATTTATCTACTCGCGCTGATATGCTTTCAAACTTCTAGGCTGGCAGCAGCTGGGACAGAGCAACCCCCATCATGTAGATTTGAACTGCTGACCTTACAATCAGCAAGTCCAAGAGGCTCAGTGGTTTAGATGCCCCCTGCGCCCCTTTCTGCGGTTAGTACATTACATGGGTACAGTAGTAGATTACATGGGTGCCTGTAAATAGTGAGGTAAAGCTGTTCTTATCTGTATGTATTTTAACTTCACATAGAAATGCAGCAGACTTCCTGCTATCATTCGCATTTCACATTGTTATAGCCAACACTGCTGTCCCATTTGTGCAAGAATTTCTGCCTTTGCAATGGGAATCCCCCTTCCTCTCCTCTCTCCATGCTCCCCCTATGGTCCATCAAACCTAGCAGGCCTAGTGTCTCTCGCATTGCATGCATTGCATTGCATTGCATTGCATTGCATGCATTGCATTGCATTGCATTGCATTGCACTGTACAGCACCTTGGATTCAGGGATCAGAGCATTCATGAGGAGTAAGAAATTAGCTATAATCACCATCATCTCCCCCTAGAAAAGAAGCTGCAGGATCACCTTTTTGTGGAACACGGAGCTGGAGAAAGCAGCCTCACTGTGGTAGGTTGAAATTGGCAGCTTTTGGTAGCTGGAGAGCACTGATATTATTCTATCAATTTTGGCCACTTAGCACCGATCACCTGTGTCAACAAGGAATTTCCTCCTTTCTGTATATTGTGAGCCATCCCTGTTGCACCTGCAGGTGAGGGAGGAGATTAGATTACCTCATGAGTATTTTTTTAAAAGAGAAAAGAAGCAAACAAACTTTTGCTCCCTCTTCCAAACTACTTTTCAAAGAAAAACACCCCTGAGTCAGTCCTGAGTTGCCATTTCACTCATATCCAAAATTCCCACCCCCATAACCTTCAGATTTCACTGCTATGCATGCACAGCTCAGAAAGAATTGCCTCAGTGTGAGCAACCAAACCACCACCCCCCTAAAAAAGTGGAAGTTTGCTTATCTCAACACACCCACGCTGCTGGGACACATTCTACACCTGCAGTGGTGCACTGCTGAGTACAGAGAGAGCTTTTTTGTTATTTGTAGTATTCTGCATGTGTTCTTTCTCTCTCTGTGTGTGTGTGAGTTGTGTGTGAGGGGAGAGAGAGCAGGCCACAAATGGAACTCACATGCCAGAACATGTTGAAACATGTTGGTTTCACTACCTGAACTGAGGCGACGAGAGAGAGAGAGAGAGAGAGAGAGAGAGAGAGAGAGAGAGAGAGATGGGGTGGGGTGGGGTAGGAGAGGGAAAGGGAGAGAAAGGCAGTGGGAGTAATTAGCGAGCCAAGTTTCCAATGCTGCTGCTGGCATCGCTCCAAGGTCCCATGACCCCTTGCAAAAATGTCACCCAAGGATATTGCTAAGCAAGCTGCTCAGGCGAGAGAAATAAAAGTCCCTGATGTTCCTGTTTGCATTGTGCAGCACCTTGGGCTTTAGTTAACACTGGTCTTCCACGATTCCAGTGTGGTCTTGGTTTTTTTAAAAGAAGAAACAACAACAATTACTTACCAATAACTGTATTGGTAAGAACTGTATACAGATGAAGTTGGAAGGACAGTCTGAGGACCGTGAAGGGGAGATCTCGCAGGCTGGGAGGTTGGGAGAAGAGAGGGATGGGCTCAGGTGAGAGCTTGCAGGACACACCTTCCTCTGCAGGGATGAAATTAAGATAGAGCAGTGAAAGAGGAATTTGTAGTTTCTTTTTCAGTTTCTTCTTTCTTTTGGTTTCTTTCTTTTCTTTATTTCTCATAAATCACTTCGTTCTCTTATAAATGTATTGTGAAAAGTGAAGAAGAAAAATTCTATCAACAACTTGCCCAGTCTATGTATACTTATCAACTTTCCTATGGGAATATATCCCCAAAACATGTGCATCGGGGCGGGGGGGGGGAGAGGGAGAGAGAGAGACTAAAGAAGGAAGTGCTACTCAGTGCCATAAAATCTAAGGCCAATTGCCCATTAATGGAAACCTGGCATATAAAAGATCCCTCTCATGGTCGGCTCCTTCAAGAAGCAGCGGCGATTGCAGCAGAAGGATAAACAGGAACTTGTTAATGCCAACTTGCAAAGGTTAGATAACGAAAGCAGGTGCTGAAAGACCCTTTTCTTTGAACACTTGGCTTCCACCTGCGAGAAGATCTCGCTGCAGTATTTCTTTCTCCCTTACAATGCAGACCTTTCCAACAGATACACCCTATCGATTACAGAAGCTTTTTCTTTTTCTTTTTAATAACAAGCTCCTTATTCAGTCCATGTCCTTGTAGTTGGCAGCTTTACAACGCTCACAATCTACTCCTTCCTCTCCTCCTCAAAGGCTTCATGTCCACATTCTGACCTCCCTCCCCCCCAACACCCGTCACCGTGCCTTGGCTTTGAGGGTGGGTCTCCCACGCTTAACCTCATCTTGTACAGCTGCAAGAATTCTGCTATACCCATGGAGGGGTCCTCCATCTGCAAGTGGTTTCCCCTTGGTTGCCAGGACATGCAAATGCTACGAAGAATGATTGGAGATGTGGAGTATCATGGAAGCCACTGTGCTGTGTACACATTTAAAGCGCACACACACACACACACACACACGAGAAACCTTTGAACTATAGTTTACCTCTCACCAGTGCTATTAAAAAGGGATGCCAGAACTCACCATGAACACCTCTCTTGTTCTCTTATACAGTGGTACCTTGGTTTACGAACTTAATCCGTTCCGGAAGTCTGTTCTTATACCAAAGCGTTCTTAAACCAAGGTGTGCTTTCCCATAGCAGCGGGGGACTCAATTTACAAATGGAACACACTGAACAAACAGGAAGTGGAACATGTTCTGCTTCCAAGGCAAAGTTCACAAACCAAAACACCTACTTCAGGGTTTACAGCATTCTTAATCCAAGTTGTTCATAAACTAAGCTGTTCTTAAACCAAGGTACCACTATACTGGCAATGGCGCCCATCTGAGAGGTGCCAGAACTGAGTTCCAGTTGTGGGGGGGGGGGAGCCCTGCCTCTCACACAGCTACAATTCCCCTTAACAAATTGCAGCTCCCAGGAGGAGGTGCTTTAAATGCATGATGTGGCCCTAAGCTATTTAGAACTAGGAGCTGTCAGTCTTACAAGGGTTGTTGGGTACCGTCTCCCCTCCATTCCAAACAGCACAGCCGGTGGTCAGCTATGATGGGAACTGGAGCTCAACAACATCCCAAAGACCACTGGTTCCTTGCTTCAAAGCTTAACGCTAACATTTTGGCACTTGGTGCTTCTGCTGGGGGGCGGGCGGGAATTGTTGAATGTTGGTTATTGCTCTTTGTATAAATAAGTGAAAACAATGAAATAGATGAGATAAATATGTATAAAAGCAACCACACAGCGCAGTTCTTTTCCAAAGGGCAGGTTTCACATAAATCACTTGATTTCTCTGCACTTGATGATTGACAGCTGTATGTGTGAATGAGCTCCATTAAAAAAGCCCAGGGTCGAGGGGGACGGAAAAGTCACGACTACAAGCATCAGATCATGTGTGCCATCACTTGATGTTGCAGCATGTATTGAAAGCGCAGGGGGCGCGGCTCAAAAACCCACCAGATTCTGAATCACAAACTGTGCTCATTAGAGAAATGGGTTTTCTTAGCTGTTGTTGTTTTTTTCAAAATCCCCAAAGCACCGCTGGTAATATTCATTTGACTTCTTTACAGTCAGCATCCAAATATTTATTTTGCCAACTTATCGTTTTGCAGACACTTGGGGCGATTTTGTTGTTGTTGTTGCTCCTTCATAGTCCAAGACTGAGGAATAAACACATCTTTTTCATTTTAGGGCATTAGAGCTCTCTTTAGTCAAACACTTGATTTAAAAAATTCAACCGGCAGTAAACTGAGCACCACATCATACATACACATTGCTTTATTACTCCATTCGTGTTCTTATATTACAACCAGCTCATAATGTACCTAACCAAACCGTCTGCAAGTGTTAATTACAGAGCAGAAAAGAAATACTGTGGCAAAAAGCTTATACATTCATAGCATTGTTCTCCTGACACAAAACTGAGAACGGCTTGCATAATGTCAACATTTGTGGATCCATCTAATCTATGGAAGCCGACAGGAATCATTTGAAATCTTTTCCTGAGATTTGCATTGAGTGTGTATCTGTTACATGGGGAAACTGCTCCCAGCACACACTGAGCTGTGACTGTGAGGTCCTACATTGTGGTAGTGGGTTAGACTCAGGCAGGATGGGGAGACTCTGGCCCATGAGTCAAACCTGGTCTTTGAGGGGTTCAAATTTGGTCCATGAGGCTGTATTCCCCAAACCACACCTGCCTGCCCATACACCTGATGTCATATGTAATACCTTGCAGAGATGCATCCCCTCCAACGTTTCTCCAATGAAAATAGGGATGTCCTATTCCATAATGATAATTTCATTACCTTATACCCAGCCCTTCTGACTGGGTTTCTCCAGCCACTCTAGAAGGCTTCCAACATATATAAAGACATAATAGGTAAAGGTAAAGGTACCCCTGCCCGTACGGGCCAGTCTTGACAGACTCTAGGGTTGTGCGCTCATCTCACTCTATAGGCCGGGAGCCAGCGCTGTCCGCAGACACTTCCGGGTCACATGGCCAGCGTGACGATCGCTGCATCTGGCGAGCCAGCGCAGCACACGGAACGCTGTTTACCTTCCCGCTGGTAAGCGGTCCCTATTTATCTACTTGCACATGAGGGTGCTTTCGAACTGCTAGGTTGGCAGGCGCTGGGACCGAGCAACGGGAGCGCACCCCGCAGCAGGGATTCGAACCGCCGGCCTGACGATCGGCAAGTCCTAGACGCTGAGGTTTTACCCACAGCGCCACCCGCGTCCCTACATAAAGACATAATAAAACATTTTAAAAACCTTCCCTATACAGGGTGGCTTTCAGGTGTCTTCTAAAGGTATAAATCTCTCCGTGGCTTGGGGAATGCATAACTCCATACCCTCCAACATTTCTCTGGTGAACATAGGGACAACGTAAGGGAAAGCAGGACATTCTGGGGTCAAAACAGAAAGCGTCTGTAAATCTGGGACTGTCCCTGGAAAATAGGGACACTTGGAAGGTCTGTAGCTAGCAGAAGTGTATCCATGCAGCCCAGTCCCCAGTCAATGCCTACCCTGGGGCACTGACATTCTACATTTCTGTTTGCCCAAGAATACACCTCAGTATGAGACTGCCATAATCTTGCTCTTTCTGGTCTCAGGGCTAAGCCACTTGCTTTTTGAAGAAACCCTAAATTCAGCTTTTGTCTGGAAATGTGATGCGCCGAAACCAGAGGTAGCTTGAGAAATCGTAAGCAGCTTGTTCCTCTCCCCCACCTCCATATAGATAGAGATGCAAAGAGCAAATGGATCTGGGCGAGATGTATACGACCCACATTTCCAAGCAGGCTATAAACAAACAAAACAAACAAAGAGCAGAAAACGTTCGCACCAACTTAAGGGAATGGATTTATATGATGAGGATATGACACGGAACTACAAAAGGAAGTAAATACCTCGTAGACATTGAGCCAGCTTAACTCACTTAAAGATCCTGATGCTAAATATTTGCTCAGCCTCTGTGTTTGCAGTGCCAACAGATCACATTCCTATAAGTCACTGCTGCTGTTTCCTCTTAGGATGGAAGGAAATTCTATAGTCACTTATTTTTAATTATTATTATTTTTTGAAAGACCATGTTACATGCATAGACGGTGGCCTGCAAAAATAAGGTATGTTGTAGCATGTTTTAGTATGCTCTCCACACAGAAGCGCAGAGCCTTATGTCTTTTCAGAACAAATTATTATTATTATTAATCAAATTTGTTTTCCTCCAAGCCTTTTAAACTTTCATTCTGTCTTGTTAAGGCTGCTGGAATATTCTTGCTCTCTTGTTTTTGTGCAATGCTATTCAAGGCTATTCTGACTGTATGCACCAGCAAAAAGAGGTCACCTGGTGTCATAATGCTGTCAGGTGAATAGGGATTTGATCCCCAACTCTGCTGAATTGGCTGTATTCAGACCCGCCAAGTGGACAGTCCTAGATTTACAGAAGCCATCTCCAATTCTGATTTTATCCCACTTTTCCTTAGGATGTCCCTATTTTCACTGGAGAAATGTTGGAAGGTTTGCTGCATTCTTTCTATTACTCCAAGCCTTTTAAACCTTTATTCCATGTTTTTAATGCTGCTGGAATATTACGGCAGGGGACATGGGGGTGGCACTAACCTTCCAACTTTTTCTATCCTTCTTCCTTCTCTGGGAGTCTTTGGAGCTGAAAGGCGAGGAATGACATTTGTCAAATCAATAATAAACAAGTATGCATCCCTTCACAACTGCAGGTGGCTTTCTGTGTTCTGTGTTCCTATCCTTTGGGCCACACCACCAAGCATTTACTCCAGGATCGGGGGTTAGAATCATAGAATCATAGAGTTGGAATAGACCACAAGGGCCATCGAGTCCAACCCCCTGCCAAGCAGGAAACACCATCAGAGCACTCCTGACATATGGTTGTCAAGCCTCTGCTTAAAGACCTCCAAAGAAGGAGACTCCACCACACTCCTTGGCAGCAAATTCCACTGTCGAACAGCTCTTACTGTCACGAAGTTCTTCCTAATGTTTAGGTGGAATCTTCTTTCTTGTAGTTTGGATCCATTGCTCCGTGTCCGCTTCTCTGGAGCAGCAGAAAACAACCTTTCTCCCTTCTCTATATGACATTTTTTTATATATTTGAACATGGCTATCATA